CACATTTTTTAAACGTCGCTCACGTCACCCCTTAGAGATCTACATACTCTCCATTCCTCGTTTGTGTATTTCACTTGTGTTTGAAAAAGGCTGCCTGGCCGAAACGTTACGTTGTGTTGTTTTGTGCACGTTTTCCTCTTTCCCATTTTGTTGAGCTTTTTAGTCAAATTTCTCTGGAATTCATACAACAGAACATGCTCGATACAACATTTCAGTACTCGTTTTCTGATGTTTAATGGCAGTGATTTATTACATAAAATACTTGTTATCCTCTAAAATGCTGCATTTGCCTGGCTAATTCTGCTCTTAATCTCTGTCACACATCATTATGAATGTTTCAAAAAACCCAATTTTATTGACTTGGTTAAGCGCTTCACCTTCTATTGTTATGTCACATTTTGGAGTTTTCTTCTTTGATATTACCATTGTTTCTGTTTACTACAGACTGCGAAGAGAAAAGGGAATACTTGTGACAGCTGGACAGATTTAGGTAGAAAGAAGGATGAAGACAGAGAGAAGATTCTTCACAGCCTTCTGTTTTGGAAAGATAGTACACAGATGTTGATTTATACTGTCAGACACCACTCGATAACTAGAAGCATGATTGCCCACACTATTCTTCTTTACCCTTAAAATCGGAGGTTGGCACATTGTGGTTTACAGCTAGGCTGTGATATCTTCGCAATATGGCCTAACATATTTGATTTCAGCAAATTCTTGATTAGTGGCCTTTTCCTACATGCTAGTTAAGTTACCATGGGTTTATTCTTTTTTATTCCCTACAAGTTAACCTTTACAATCAAGGCTAAGGTGAAAGGATTGACTTCACTGCGCCTGGTTTTATCCTACATGGCTCAGTCTCTCTCCGCAGAACAGCTATCTGTCTGTCGAGAGTGTCGCACAGAGCACGAGCTCCGTAGCTCCAGCAACAATCCCCAGTGATCTCTATAGAAATTGCACTCGTGAACTGAACTGCGCTGCCTAAAAAGGAACCCTTGACCTTCAGAGCAAGAGGAAAACGGCTTGACCACTTCGCCACAAGTAAGCTCCTGGAACCTGCACAGGGTACATGATGATTTGAACACCGGAAACAAAATCTGAAAACATCAACACACTGACATAGAGCTGAATAACTGTTTATATTTACCTGCTTTTATCCTGCATCCCTCTTGCATAGGGGTTATATTTCACTTTCAAGTCAGTGATCTGAAATTGGTGGTGAAAATTAAATATTATCTTACAAAGGCGTGAAAAGCTTTTAATAGCTTGAACGATTTTTTTAAAAAATTTTTTTTCAGTCAGTTTATTTCAAAACATATGTTATACTTAAAAATAATACTAAAGTGCTCAGTAGAGGGGAAATGGCCGGCTCTGTGGCTAAGTCGATGCGAACACTTCGTAATGCTGGGGTACCGGGTTCGATCCCAGCTGCGGGCCATGCGCCTTGCGTTGGTTTCGAAAGTGGTATCAGGGGTCCGACCACCCAGAAATCAATGGCAAACTACTGGACGTGAATTTGCCTAGAGAAACCATGCAACAGCCAGGGGCTGCTGGGGTTGGTTCTGCAACGTCCTGTAAAGGATACGCAACTAACCTAGAGGGGAAATGGAGAAGAGGCAGACCAAGAAAGACCATGACTGACTGGACAGACCTTAGGCATGCAACCATGAAGTCCATTGCATCTGACCGTCAAATGTGGAGAGAGCTGATCAGACAGTCAATAGAAACTGGTGACCTAACGACATGCAGTATTACGGGATTATGTTATCCTTAGTCATAACTGCGTTGTTTTCTGCTGCTGTTTATTACCCAGTATCCTGATATCATATATTAGGATTAAATTTCATCATCCCATTAACTTTATTATCGTTGCAACTCTATCTATGCACTCAGCTACTTTGCGAGCGCCGATGAAACAGTGGTCCATCAATGGATTAACCTCTCAAGGCCCTTCGATCTATCACCCAACGCACAACCCATTCTTCACATAAATTAGAGTTTGACATCTCCCACACTTTCGTGTCGAGCGTCAAACGAACGACAGCCGGTTTTCCACACGGTGCGTAGAAACGGTGAAGACGAAGGAACGTATATCCTAACACCCCTACAACGGAGGACAACCAGTGGGAACGCCACGGCATGAATGGGAACCAGTAGGAAATCTCGCGCCCGACGTGATGGGGTGAATCTCGTGATATGTGCCCAACCAACTATCGCACACATCTCACTCCGCGGCTTTCGTGTTTTTAAACTTCACTATCTTGGTGTTTTTTAACTGCCTTTCTATCTCTGATCTCTAGGATTTCCCGTTTGCAACAACATAGTTTTCAGATTTTCTCAGTGTGAATCTTCTTCAAAGCTAGCGCCTTTTCCCTCATCTCTTCACCCTTTCTGACTGGCATTATTTTTAATGTCTGTAAATTTTCTTTCAGCTCATCTGACAGTTTCGTTCAGTCTGCTTTTTAGTTTGCACATCTCTGTCAGAGAGCTGCGACTGTACCGTCGTTAGGCACTCACCTACCAGCTCAAAAGTCATAGGTTAAAATATTCACTGGGATTTATATAACTGACGATGGCGCCCAGGTGGACTCTGTCAAAAGTGGGTACCGGAGCATTTCACTGGAAGTAAAGGCAGCTGATATGATGTCGACCACATCACTTTTTGAGTGGTACGCTCAGAGGAAAGGCAAGACGGACACACAACCAGACTAACTCTGCGCTGGCTGCTAAGGATGGGGACGAGCGCGTATGGGAATGCCAAGAGTGCTGAGATGTCAATTCTTAACTCAACTCAACTCAACAACTCTTTGAGTGGCGATTGGTCTGTACAAATATTTGGCTATCTTCCGAATAACGGTCCCAAATTATCGATGTCTAAAATATACCCCAACAGGGCCTCAGTCACATGCTAATTTCGGACTTCCGCCACCGCCGAAAAGTCCGCCACCGCCGAGAGTATCTCCCACGCCGCTACGCTACGCTACGGGCAAATGAAATGAAGGAAGCTGCAGGAGTTGTAGTAGATGCTGCTCGTGAGTCCCAGCCATCTAGTGGGAGATACTTTTGGCGGTGGCGGTAGTCGCCGAAATGTCGCAATTAAAGTCTCTGGAAGCCCGCGGAGGCCCAGCATGTCTTAAATTGTGTGTATATCTGTCAGTCTGCATGTCTTTCTACGTGCCTATCAGACTACATGTAACTATATGTACCTATCTATCAGTCTACATGTTACTCTATGTGTCTATCTATCAGTCTACTTGTCATTCTGTGTACCTATCTATCTGTCTACTCGTCATTCTATGTAACTATCAGTCTTCTTGTTATTCTATGTACCTATCTATCAGTCTACTTGTCATTCTATGTCTATATATCAGTCTACTTGTCACTATATGTACATATCTACCAGTCTACATGTCATTATATGTACCTATCAGTCTACATGTCATTCTATGTCTATCTATCAGTCTACATGTCATTCTATATCTAGGTATCAGTCTACTTGTCACTATATGTACATATCTACCAGTCTACATGTCATTATATGTACCTATCAGTCTACATATCATTATATGTACCTATCAGTATACATGTCATTATATGTACCTATCAGTCTACATGTCATTCTATGTGTCTTTCTATCAGTCTACATGTCATCCAAATGTCTATCTATCAGTCTACTTGTCATTATATATACCTATCTATCAGTCTACTTGTCGTTCTACCTATCTATCAGTCTACATGTCATTATATGTACCTATCAGTCTACATGTCATTATATGTACCTATCAGTCTACATGTCATTCTATGTGTCTATCTATCAGTCTACATGTCATTCTATGTAACTATCTATCAGTCTTCTTGTCATTCTATGTACCTATCAGTCTACATGTCATTATATATACCTATCTATCAGTCTACATGTCATTCTATGTGTCTGTCTATCAGTCTACATGTCATTCTATGTGTCTGTCTATCAGTCTACATGTCATTCTATGTGTCTATCTATCAGTCTACATGTCATTCTATGTGTCTGTCTATCAGTCTACATGTCATTCTATGTGTCTATCTATCAGTCTACATGTCATTCTATGTGTCTATCTATCAGTCTACATGTTATTCTATGTGTCTATCTATCAGTCTAATTGTCATTCTATGTACCTACCTATCTATCAGTCTACTTGTCATTCTATGTACCTACCTATCTATCAGTCTCCATGTCAAATATATATGCTTATTTGTCAGTTTACATCCATCTACGACAGGGCTTTTCAACTGGCGGGCCGAAGGTGAGATTTGGCCTGCGGAGGCCTAGCAAGTCGTCCGCGGATTACTGCGTTGTATTGTATTGATGATTTTTTATGCTAGGGCTTGAGCCTTTGGCCGGGACCATACCCAGTTTCAAACTGCTGGTCTCTCTATAAAACTTAGTTTAATAGCCCTTATCTAGGAGCGTGTCTGTATCCGTAATTCTTCTTCTTTTGTCATTCGCCTTATAAAGCAAATTTCTAATTAGTCGAATGTCATCACATGTTTGTTACAGGACAACAGATCTGCTTTTTATAACATTTACCCCCAGAACACTCGGGTGGGGTAGGTAGGTAGGTAGGTGATTTGATGGAGAGAAAAAAAAACGTTTAACCACCATCCTCGAAGGTAGAGCTTTAGGTTATAATTGTGACTAGGTTATGTGCGCCAGATAAAATGGCTAAGCATCGCACGCTACCAAGAGCCATGAAAATTACTCTCGCATGGTTGATGCGATCAAAGGAGACAGACCGAAAGACCCAACCGGCGGCGAAGTCGTCTACTGGCAAACCAATGGGCAACCTGGTCGCTGGCGTGTGGGGGTGGGAAAAAGGAGATACTGAAATTTATATTAGATATTCTCCTTCTGCATGACGGTCATGTACACATTTTGGCAAAATGAAACATCGCAACCAGCATAGTGCGCCGCGACAGCACTAGACAGGAGGCCCTAAACCTTCAGACTCAAGGCCCCCTCTCTACACTGCCCCCCCCCCCCCCCCCAACCAAAGTGGTACAACAGACAGCAGTGACCAACAGCGAACACTTACATCTGTATTCTGGTACGCCGTGACAGCAATGAACTGTGTATCCTCAAAGGCATGGCAGACAAGTTCCTCTTCCTGCCGCCCTTCATCCTGGCAACAGGCCACATGGATCCTGGGCTGGTACCAGTGCATGGAGTTCAAAATCACCTGTTGAAAAAGGCAAATTTATAGACGGGCATTGATACCTGTAAGTAAGACAATTCATTAAAAAGGCAGACCCAAAATTGTTATGTGAAGGAAGTAGGCCAAAGATATAGATGCAGACAGAAAGTTAGACGTGAGGTATCAGTGTGTGGATAAACAGGTAACACGTACAACCAAGGTATGTTATGTTATGTTATGTTATCCAGTCGATGTCTTTGCACATTGGGCATCCCTATGCGTGCTCAGTCCTCCGATGTAGCAGCCATTTCAAGGTACTTCCATTGATTTTGCCTATGAGGAGCTTGTTACAGTATCTTCTGTCTTTAACTCGACGACGCTTCGCCAATCTTAACTCCTTGGTCACGCAGTCGTATTAGCGTCAGAGATTCGCCATTATCCCCTCCACTAGAACCGTACAAAAGAGGTATGTATGCAGACAAACAACAGGAGATGTCATGTGAGAATATAGGGACAGTTATAGCTATTGCGGAACGAAACATACAATTAAGAATACAGTAAAAGAAATAGAATAACGAGGTGTTAAACACAAGAGACCAACAGGTGTTTATTTGGAGATTTTCGTCAAATGGAGATGACAGGTTCCATTCCCTGCATGGAAAGCTATAGTTTCCGATTTTAAGTTGTCTAGTGTGTCCTGCTACCTTTAACTTCTTTCTTTGAGTGTAGTTTAATGCAGATCTATTTGCATATTACACATATTCTACCAGATCCCGCTTATTCCGCCCTGTGGAGATCAATGCCCAGTGTATCTTGATTTAAAAAAAAAATTTTTAAATTGCCTTTTTTTTTTTTTTTGTATTCTAGGGATGTGCGTGGTTTCGAGCTATGGTGTCCGCCTCGAGGGCTAGAGGTTCGAGGATCAATCCCTGGAAAGGGCTAGGATTTTTTTTTTACGTGGACTTGGACTTCTAGTAATTCCTCCTGGTCTCTGGGTAGTGAGATAGAGACGCCCGTGTGCATTGCAGCGCAGGGTTAAAAAAAATCCTTTCGCAGTTGAAAACGAGTTGTGTTGAGTCGAGAATTGACATCACAGTACTCGGGGCATTCCCATTCATGCTCCGTCCTCATCTTCAGCAGCCAGCGCAGAGTTCCAATACTGATGGTACCGGTCACAATCTGAGTGTAGTGAGCCGGCCAGACCCTCTGGTTACACACGGGTGTCTTATTCTCTCCAGGCCATAATAATCTTCTTTCTCTACTGATTCCGTTGCTTCCTCCCAAAGGGCCTTGACCACATCTGCCCTTGCATGTATGAATTCACCACCCAGTGGTGCGGATCCAGCCAGTTTGTCTGCCTGTTCATTACCCATCACGCCCGCATGGCCTGGAGAAAAGATCCAAAGTATGCTCACTACCCGTGACCTTTCCAGTAAAGCTAGCCACTCTGCTCGAAACATCCCTTTTTTAACCTATTTTTCACCATGCTTTCAGAGTCTGTTACAATTAGGACATGTGTATGCATTTTGTTCTCTAGCCACCGGACAGCTGCAGTTACCGCCTCCATCTCCATTCTCATGCTAGATGTTGTGGTGTCATATGGTAGGCTGTCTTGCACTAAAGATTTTCCATTGACATTCGCTATGAACCCCCCTCTCAACGCTGAACCATCTGTATATTTAATCAGATCACATAGGCGTGAATTGTCTTGCATCACCTGTTGGACTTCAACCTCCGTAGCACCCGATGGCCACTCTCCGCACACCCGGCCCAGTGTTATCATAACCCTACACAGGTCAGACTTTTCCGCTGGTACTCTGACCCACTCCTCTCCTCGCCCAATGTTCTCCAGCATGCATACTTGTTTAATTGTGTCTTCTGCTTGAGCTGGCAGTTGAAAATCGAAAAGAGAAGCCTAACGCCTGGTCAAAATTTAGAGTTAAAAATCTACCCAAAGTATTTCAGGTTCCTCGCCGGTGCTACAGCGCCTGTGCACTGTGTTGAGCTTCTTTGGACTCGGACTCACGTTAGAAAAAGAACGAGGCACTTATGGATTTCTACCTGTGTTCCATGATGTTGATCCGTTGTTCAATCTTCAAACTTTGTTGTATTGTTTTTTCCGTTCCGCAGCAGCTACTCTTGTCCATATTCTCCCACATCACATATTTACTTTATGAGCCTGGGCAAGTAAGGTAAATAGACTAGCTTATACGAAGTAACATAGAAGTAAGTAACAAGAGAAAAAAAAACGACAAAAAAAGAAAACGAATATACGAACTTGTTTCTGCTTGGTGGCTTTGTTGTTGGTCAGCTTGAGTTTCCCAAAACTGATTTCTTGCTTGCACCAGAAAGCTCCGGTGTTGGGCGAGTCCGGGTGTTGATATGTTTGCCCGCCTAGAGGTGGATGGTGAATAACATGAAAACCTTTTTATGTATGTGGGTTATACAATCTTCTTCTTCTTCAGTATAACGAGCCCTTGTAGTTCATTCCTACAGATACCACCGCTTCAGTAAGTAAGTAAATTTTGCCCCACCAGGAAATCATACTGAGCGATAAACACCAGGTGACACAAAGTGCCAGCATGCGGAATCGGATAAGTGGACAGGTCCCATAAACCGCATTCAACTGTTAGGCTATAATGCGGCCCCTGACAAAAGCCAGGACAGGGCTTCAAAATAATGAAAAATTGAATCCCACGACGGGGGGTGACGAAGTTACCACCTGCTTCGTTCCTTGTTCATATAATGTTATCTATTCTATAGATCACAAACCTGTTCTATATATATCTTCTTTTACCCGACCAGGACATCACACAAGCGATAAACAGCCGATGATAAAGAGTGCCAACATGTGGATGAGGATCACCCGTGGAGAGGACCCAGAAACCACGTTCAGCCATTAGACCAAATTTAGCATCTTGTTGTATTGGGGACCAGGGCTTCAAATAACGAAAAATTGCATCCCACAGAGGTCACAGGGTGACTGACTGACTGACTTTCTACCCCACTAGGACATCACACAAGCGATAAACACCAGATAACACAAAGTGTCACCATGTGGATGAGGATCGCCGTGGAGAGGTCCCAGAAACCGCGTTCAGACAATTGGCCATATTTATGGCCTGCCTATATTGCGGCCCCTGGCGAAAGCCAGGGTGGGGCTTCAAATAACAAAAAATTTCGTCCTAAAAAGGACGAAACTGGATAGGTCACAGGGTAACTAGTGTGTTCATTATAAATGAACTGTTAACTCCTCCGAAACCGTGAACATTAATACATGGGTTAAATTTTCAGTTGCCATTCTTGCTACAAAGTTTAATTTAACAGCACATTGGCGGCCAGGTTATTCTGCCATTATTATATTTATTACAAGTAAAAATAAACTTTGCTGGAGTTATATCCCTTTGAATTTATCTCCACCAGATTCCGCGTATTCCGCCCTGTGGGGTTCAATGCCCAGTGTATCTTGATTTTTTAATTAATTTTTTTAATTGTTTGTTTTTAATTGCCTTTTTTTTTTTTTTTTTTGTATACTAGGGATGTGCGTGGTCTCGGGCCATGGTGTCCGCCTCGAGTGCTAGAGGTTCGAGGATCAATCCCCCACCCCCCTCTTCCCTTCTTATATCCCTTGAAAAGTTAATTTTTAACTTGAAACACCAAACCAAGATGCCAGAGAAAACGGGAGAATGAAACTTTTTTTTTTCTCCAGGACCCTGGGCGATGCCGAACAAATAAATCTAGTATACTGTAATAGTTTAACCTATTGACTGCCAAGCCCGGCGTATGGGGTCCGGGTTTTTTTAGGGAAGATTGGGCGGGGAATAGATTCCCACCTAAAAATCATGTCATAAAAGGGGACTAATCCCGGTATTTTCCTTTTTCTTTTTTTTTTTTAACGTCTTCAGAAACCATGAGTTGTAAACCCTTTGGCTCGGTACTATGGATATCTCAACCCTTCGGCATTGATTCCCTTATAGGTACCGTTAATCTGGGAGAAATGTGACTTTTCTGCCTACCCCCACAAGGAGTTCGTCACCCGGCCGCCGCGAAAGTCAGGTTTAACCAACTGTATTTTCCTTTAAAGTGTCTGGACATTATCCAGTTTCGTCCTTTTTAGGACGAAATTTTTTGTTATTTGAAGCCCCACCCTGGCTTTTGCCAGGGGCCGCAATATAGGCAGGCCATAAATATGGCCAAATGTCTGAACGCGGTTTCTGGGACCTCTCCACGGCGATCCTCATCCGCATGGTGGCACTTTGTGTCATCGGGTGTTTATCGCTTGTGTGATGTCCTGGTGGGGTAGAAAGTCAGTCAGTCAAGTGTCCGGACCACAATTAGTTCGTCACCCGGCCGCCGCGAAAGTCAGGTTTAACCAACTGTATTTTCCTTTAAAGTGTGTAGATCCAGTCAAGAAAGGTCTAGTTTTTCTTCTTCTTCAATTTCACCGGTTGTAAACTCCACTAGAAAATTCTGATTGTTCTTCTACCTCTGGACTTTAATTTTGTTCTAGAACCTGAGTGTTGTATGTAAATCCGTTTTACAGATGCACTCCAACTTTAAAAGAAGTCCCACAGTTAATTGACTATTACGATAATCGTGTTGGGGAAGCGGTGGGTCTTTCTTGTCTCCCTCACAATGGGGCCAAAGAACCCTCGAAATGGCTCCTCTTAGCCCCCTTAAAAGAGGGGGTGGGGGAAAGTGCAGCGCTCAAGCTTCTAAAATGTCAAAGACAGTGGTGCCTCCGTGGCGAAGTGATCAAACCGTTTGCTGCCTGCTCTGAGGGTTGTGAGTTCGTTTCACAGACGCGTTGCTTGGTTCACAAGTACAGATACAGAGATCCCGGGGGGTCGTCTAAATTGCTACAGAGTTCCTGCTGTATGCGACGCTTTCGGCAGGCAGCTAGAGCATTCTTGTGAAAGAAAGTAAGCCAATGGGATTATCTGGGGCAATGAAATCGATCCTCTAGACTTAAACTGTATTTTTGGGTGGGGTGGGTGCGGGTGTATGAATAAAAGAGATCTCAGTTTTTCCGCTCCAGGCTCGTACCTGATTGTTTGACCAGCCATCAGTGGCAAGGCGTATCCATGTTGCATGTGTAAGTGGTTTAAACAAAATTTGAGCGTTACAGGTAACTATTACACCGGAGAGGTTTAGCATTATCATCATTGTCCCGGAACACTGTGTGTCTTTGTGTCACCAGTTGCTATTGACTTGTCTGCACAAATCTCCGCACCTTTGACGGTCAGATGCTATAGACTTCATGGCTGCATGCTTAAGGCCTGTCCAGTCAATCCATTTCTGTATCCAGGTATTTTAGCCTCTTCTCCTCTCCCCTTTTACTGAGCCCTGTAGTATTGCTTTTGAGACCCCTTGAGATTAAAATGAGTTAAGTTGAGTCAAGAAACTGCATCACAGCACTCGGGGCATTCCCATGCGTGTTCAGTCCTCGTCTTCAGCAGCCAGTCGCAATGCTGATGGTACCGGTCACAATCTGTTATGTCCGTCTTGCCTTTCCTCTGAGTGTAGTGAGCCAACCAGACCCTCTGGTTACACCCAGTTGCCGTGAGATTTTATTACATGCCCGTGCCTTTTCAGCCTTTTCACTGTAGTTAAACGAGGCTCATACTTGCCACTACCTGTGAACCCTGGAGAAGGCATTTTCTTTCCGCTCCCTTTGCTGTTGTCAGTATGCGAGTGCAGCTTGCATCGTACTATAAGTAACTGGTAGCTCGTCTACGTTACAGTTTCTGTACGAGTGGTGTAAACATGCAACAAACGTTCCTTTCGCGTTGATAATACTGTTAACAAGCTGTATGTGCTCAACGAGGTGTAAACCCAGTGGCGTATTTGTAAAAAAAAGTAGTGAACAGTAACGTCGGCTCTGTGGGGTTCGATCCCAGCTGCGGACCATGCACCTTGCGTTGGTTTCGACAGTGGATCAAGAAAGCCGACCGTCCAGTAAGAAATGGCAAACTACTGGACGTAAATTTGCCTAGAAAAACCACACAACAGTCAGGGGCTGTTGGGGTTGGTTCTGCAACGTCCTGTAAAGGATACGCAACTAACTAAGTGAACAGTAATCTTCTTCTTACAGTCCATGCCGTGTGGCGTTGCTAGGCATGTACTTTCAATCAGTTCTGACACAGATGATCCCCCATACCATGATGTCAAACTGTCCATCTTTTCTCTCGGTGTCCTCTGCTTCACCTCCCTTTCAACTTTCCTGCAGGCACGATGTACTCCAGTTTTCTCCTTCTCACCACATGACCAAAGAAAATTCTCTTTCTGATGTGGGCAATCGGTTCTCATCGTGAGTCAGTTTCTTTCATCTTCAAGACATATTTATTACTCTTTATATCTGTTCATGGTATTCTCATCATTAATCTTTAAAACCACATCTCCACAGCTTCCACAAAATTGTTCACTAATCTACCAAATGTTAATCAAATCCAACTGCGACTCGCTGCAGCTCACAGCCGGTGTTCGAAACCTGACGGTTCCCGGGGTTCACTTAGCCTCTAGGAAATGGGTACCGGAGTTTACACTCTCGGGTAAATGGAGTGACGTCGCTGTAGCTACGGAGATTTTGTGCGGATGGCGACACAGGCGGACAGTTTATTCTGTCCGTACTGGTGACATAGCACCTATGGTTTGTAGCCGTGTGCAATGACGCTGGTTCACATTCCCCGACTTTACCTTTACATCAAATGACCAAAGAATGTAGATTGTCCCTTTCTGATGTGGGCAATCAGTTCTCTTCGTGAGTCAGTTTCTTTCAAGACGTTTTTATTACTTTTTTTTAAATCTGTCCAGGGTATTCTCATCATTCGTCTATTACACCATATCTCCGCAGATTCCAAATTCGCTTCCACTAATTTACCAACTGTGTTGAATTTTTGAGTTAAGTCAAGAAATTAGGGTCACATCACTCGGGGCATTCTCATACGCTCTCCGTCGACATCTTCAGTGGCCAGCACAGAGTTCCAATACTAATAGTACCGGTTATAGTCTGGTCATATGTCCATCTTGCCTTCCTCTGAGTGTAGTAAGCCGATCAGACTCTCTGGTCACACCCAGGGGCATCATTCTCTCCGGGCCATAATAATCTAGTTTCTCTTCTGACTTCGTTACTTGTTCCCAAAGGGCCTTGATGACATCTGCCTTGTCATGTATCAATTCACCATCCAGTTTATAAACTGTCCGTGAAAAGTAAAAGTAAATAGTAAAACAACGCTTTTTTTTTTTTTTTCCAAAGTGTAAGCAGCGGTTACAGCCATTACATGCACCCCTTGCCGCTGCCATTCATGCCACAAGATGATGATGCTCATGATGAAAACAAATATTCACAGCTCTACGCTAAAACTGCCAATCACTGCCTTTACTATACCACTTTTACGATGAGCCTGAAGTTTTACGGCCGTATGGCTAGTGCTGTCGCCATGACTGTGCAGGAATTTATTTTGCCCCCAACATTAACACATACAAAATCCCCAGCCTTACCGAGGGTTCGAACGCGGCTTACCTGCTGGAAAGCCCAGTGTTCTAACCGTTCGACCAGCCGCTTCAGGCAGCTCTGTGCACATTTTTAAATTAAGAATATTCATTAAATTTTCACTCGGAAAATGAGGCCAATGGAAGAGCAGTCAACAATGAGAGGTACAGACGTCGTTCAGTCTGCCACTGCTGGACGGGTGGAGGTGATAATTGTTGAACCATTTAATGGAGCTGCTTGTGGTTGGGACATTTAAGGAGTAACAACAATGACGTGGCAGCAGGGTCGACACAAAGAGGGCAGTTTGGGGGGGGGGGGGGTTGGGGAGGCAAACAGGCTGAATGACGGATAGAGGAGCTGTTTCGTCAGTAATAATAATCTTCATAATAATAATAAAAATAATTCGCGTTCAGGGGCTGTGAACTCCGGCGGACAGTTCTGGTTGTTTGTCATCTGTAATTTAGTCTTGTTTCAGAATCTAGTGCACATCCGTTTAACAGATTTGACTTAATTGTACTTAGATTGTTGGTTCCTTGCCTCTCACCCAGATGCACTCCGACTTCAAAGGAAGCTCCGAATTCGTTGGCTCTTACAACACGCTTGTTCTGGTAATCTGGTAATCCTAGTTTAAGCTTCATAGCAAATGGGTCACCCCATAGTTGCTCCGCTCCTGTGCCAACGAAAAACACACGTAGCTCACAGTGCCACACCACATAGACATGCTTGTTTCAGAGGTAGTGGGTCTGTTCTTGTTTTCCCAATAAAGGAACCCCGGAACCCACACAGGAAGATCAAAAACTTATGAGATATTTACTAAGTCGTTTTCCGGCGAGCCAATGGGCAGTCCGGTCACCGATTGTTTTGGGTAATTGTTTTAAAGCGCAGTTTTAATATAATGGTCAGGGTCAGACAACTGCGGTTTGGACAATTGCGCCGGTCGTTTCTCAGGTTTTGTCTCCCTTTTAGAGTCAGGCTATAACAGAGAAAACAGAGGATTAGGGTCGAGAACGTTTGGGGTCGAAAACATTTAGAGAGCGTAGGTTTTGATGCTAAATCCTGTGGGCTCAAACTTCTACCCTACCCCACTCCTCCACCCCAAACCCCATCCCCCTCCCCAAACATTTTTGGAAGAGCGAGCCAAGGCACACACAGACACACACATTCATGGACACTCAGAGACAAAACGACAGGCAGACACAGAAGCAAAGACACACACAGACACAAAAACACAGACACAAAAACACAGACATACACAGGCAGTCACAGACACACACACACACACACGCAGAAACAGACACAGCTCGGTCTTCCTCCTGCGGTATTTTCTCAGTGTCAGCGACTCTTATCCTATTATTTCAACCGTTAACCCAGCTTCCCACCCCACCTCCTTAATCCCTACCTTTTCTTTAAAAGAAATCCTGATGTTTTAGCATGAAATACAAACATCCAACGCAGAAGACGAAGACGAAACAGAAGCGGCAGCAATATCTAACAGCGACAGAAGTAGACAACAACGACTGGGTGCTTACCAGCTAGAAGAGAGTCTGCATTGCCACAAGGAACCCATTTGCCTCCCTGGAACTTCCAGTGGTTGTCGTTGGCAAGGACCATATCCACAAACACACGGTACTGCTTTTCTGGGTCAAGGCCGGATATCTTGAAATGAAGCACCGGAAACATACGTCTGTGGAAAAAAAGTCAGTGGATGAATTGCCGTATTTTTCCGTGTAACAGTAGGGTGACTATAAAATAGGGGGCGCTTAAAACGAAAAATTGCCTTAACATTCTGAGCTGAAAACGGGACATTGCATTCAGAATTTAGGCTGAAAACGTGATATCCCATGCGTCAGTCTAACTACACTCCTCCTCATCACCTCTTCCCCCCCCCCCCCCCCCCCCCACTTTTTTTCTGTGCCACAGGCGTGAAAGTGTTCATTTTAATTACTCGTCAACAATGGTATTAGGACACGAACGACAGTCTCCAATTAAAAGAAAACGGAAGAGGTGGAGGGGGAAGGGGGGGGGGGACATTTTATTTTTAAGGAAGTACTTTCAATGGATCTAAGTCTTGTTTGAGTGTTTAATGATAATAATAATGTGGTAGCTGGCAAATAAATGCAATAGTTTGAAGTTTGAACAACGGATCAACATCATGGCACACGGATAGTGCTCCGTTCATCTTCTAACTCAAGTCTGGGTCCGAAGAAGCTCAGCACAATGCACAGGCTCTGTAGCACCGGCGAGGATCCTGAAATACTTTGGGTAGATTTTTAACTCCAAATTTTGCCCGGGCAGCGCCGTCAGGCTACTCGTTTTCGATTTCCAACTGCCAAGGGATTATTTTTACGTGCGCAACAATGCACACGGGCGTCCGGTCTCACTACCCAGTGACCAGGGAGAATTACTAGAAGTCCAAGTCCACGTGAAAAAATGCCAGCCATTACGGGGGATTGAACCCGGAACCTCCAGCACTCCGGAGGCGCACCCCGGGCAAGAATTTGGAGTTGAAAATCTACCCAAAGTATTTCAGGATCCTCGCGGGTGCTACAGAGCCTGTGCACTAGCTCAAACTTCTTCGGACTCAGACTTGAGTTAGAAGAAAGAACGGAGCACTTATGGGTTACTACCCTTGAGCCATGATGTTGATCTGTTGTTCAAACCTCAAACCTCTTGTCTTATCCATTCTAAGCGCATGTCTGATATAGTTCCAGCAGCGGTTTCTTATAAAATTTGAGACATTATCTTTCTTGGTCTCTTGTCTTATTGGCGTACTAGATCTTAAATCTGTCTAGTGGAGATTTAGTATTTTTCTAGACATCTGTGAGCTGCGTTAGCAAAATCGAGAAGAAGCTCGCTTTCAAATCCAGCTGCGACTCGCTGCAGCCCACGGTCGGCGTTCGAAACCGGTCGGTTCCCGGGGTTCACCCAGCCTCTAGGAAATGGGTAACAGAGTTGACACTCTGGGGTAAATGGAGGAACGTCGCTGTAGCTACAGAGTAACGGGCGAACGGCGACACAGGCGGACAGTTCTTATCAGCTGTCCGTACTGGTGGCAGAGCACTTATGGTTAAAAAACGTGTGCAATGACGCTGGTTCACATCTACCGACTTGACCTTCACCTTTACCTAGACATCTGTTCTCAAAACTGTTTTTTTTTTTTTTAATCTAGAGCTAGCTACCGTTGCTTTCGAATTCTCGTGATTGTTCGTTAAATATCAAATGGATTTAGGTAGGTAGGTAGGTAGGTAGGTAGGTAGGTAGGTAGGTAGGTAGGTAGGTAGGTAGGTAGGTGGGTGGGTAGGTAGGTAGGTAGGTAGGTAGGTAGGTAGGTAGGTAGGTAGGTAGGTAGGTAGGTAGGTGGTTGGGTGGGTAGGTAGATGGGTGGGTGGGTAGGTAGGTGGGTGGGTGGGTGGGTGGGTATTTAGTTAGTTAGTTAGTTAGTTGCACTCCACCAGGACATCACACAAGCGGCAAACACCCTGTGACACAAAGTGCCATTACGCGGATGAGGATCACCCGTGGAGAGGTCTCAGAAAACACTTTCAGCATTAATGCCATATCTATGGCCTAGGCCATATTTATGGCCCAGCTATATTTAGGGCCCCCATGGTGGGGCTTCAAAATAACGAAAAATTGCATCCCTCGATGGGACGATTTTAAAAACGATTTTGAAATTATGTTTGCGTCAGTGAAAAGTAGTCATAAATAACACACACATCTTTCTGCTTCACCTTCTTCTTTTTCTACTGTTTCTGCTGCTACTGCTACTACTGCTTTGACTACTTCCCATCTACTGGCAATTTTAATTCTGTTTCTTCTTTTTCTTCTTCTTCTTCTTCTTCTTCTTCTTCTTCTTCTTCTTCTTCTTCTTCTTCTTCTTCTTCTTCTTCTTCTTCTTCTTCTTCTTCTTCTTCTTTTTCTTCTTCTTCTTCTTCTTCTTTTTCTTCCTTTTATTCCTTTCTTCTTCTTCTTTTTCTTTTTCTTCTTCTTCTTCTTTTTTTTTTTTCTTATTCTTCTTCTTCTTATTATTATTATTATTGTTCTGCTTCTTCGTCTTTAGCCTTTCGTAATATTGAGGTTCATTTCTGCAGATATTATTGTCTTCATTCATCTGTGTGATTAGTTTTCACTTAACACTTGATGACTTCACGTGTTGTTGTTTTTTTTTTGGTATACCCTGAATATCCCGTCCCCCCTCCCATACTTTCCCTATATGTATATATGTATATATATAAGTTTGTTGCGTATCCTTTACAGGACGTTGCAAAACCAGCCCCAGCATCATTTCTTTTCTAGGCAAATTTACGTGCAGTGGTTTGCCATTGCTTTCTGTACGGTCGGCTTCTCGATACGACTGTCGAAACCCTATATATGTATATCTCGGCGTCTATAAGAACATAAAGTATGAGTTAGATCATGTTGATGTAAACAACTATCTGATACAGAAGACAAACTCTTAAGAATAGAATGCTTACCCTTTTTTAAGACTACTTGACACTCGATTTGTATTGATGACAGGGAAAGAATTAAAAAAGATGAGGAAGAAAACGAACTTCCATTCACATGGTAGAGGATGAGGCAAGAACAGTTAAGGACACGGAGATTTTAACCACCAAACAACAAGACTTACCTGCCATGCTTAGTCACTATCATCTCATTTGTAAATGCATGAAATTTGGCCCACATCTCTCCATTTGTGAGAGTCACTTTACAGTTGTTTTTTCCACTGGCAGTCCATTTTGAGGAATTATGTCTGGATACAAGACTTCGGGTATTGCTTTGGACAAGCTCTCTGTCGCAAGCAGTCAGGATTGCCGGAAAATCCGGACATATGTCAGTTCGGGAATTCCCTTGTAAAAACGAGGAGGTGCTGTTATGGACATTGGAAGAGCGGTAATCGCCGGGCAGATATCCACTGTCTAAGATATAGGGCAAAGTTAGTAGGGTTGGGGTTTCCGAAGAACACGCGTCGAACTGGAAGGAGGGAGACGACAATGGGACTCTGTGCGAATGAGCTGTGGAAGTCGATCCTCTTCTGTTGTAGGGATGGAAACTGTTGCCTCTGTGAGACTGGGTCGATGGTCGAAGATCTGCTGAACCGTGTGTAGAATATCTTAGAGATGGCTGCGGCCAAGGACTGCCGTTTGATACCATTCCAGAGGAACATGTAGTTGTTGTCCATGGATTTAAGTCTGTCATCCCGGAAGAACACGTAGTTGTTGTCCATGGATTTATGTCTGAAGTCATCCCGGAAGAACACGTAGTTAATGGCCATGAATTAACGTTTGATAACATGCCAGATGAACACGTGGTTGTTGGGGCAAAGTGAGATTGCAACGGGGCTACGGGATTGTATAGAAAGGTCATAGGTGATGATAGCCCTCGATTATACGGTTGAAAGTTGCTGGCTGCACAAGATTCGAGAGGTGAACATGCAGTGTTTACTCCGGACGCTAGTTGAATGTGTTGTCGTGGGCTGATGTCGTGTTTCTGGTATGCGCAACTCGGCAGAGATTCCTGTTTGCTCTCCCTTTGGTGTGGATTCGACCCTGCTTCGCTCCCGCTGTAGCTACCAGATGCGTAGATGCCACCAAACCCTATAGTGCTGTTGTAATTCTGCACGTTTTGCTGACCCCCAAAGCCAGGATCAGAAGCTGTTAGATACGACATAGGATGCTGATATAGAAAATTATTAGGGCTGTAACTGGTATCGCATCCGACTGAGTTGTCCATGGAAAGAAAGTGCACGTTGTCAGCTGCCATGTTACTGGGACAACCCTCAGCCCCCATGTTGTCGTTGTTTCGACGCCGCCCATGATTGTTGTTGAAGTACATGCAGGGGGCTATATGGTCATTGCTGTCTGGAGATATCATCTCCATGGAACTATTTCTGGTCGAATGATCGGTGGATGAAAGCAACGCTGTGGATTACATGCATAAAAAGTAAAGAAATTAATAAAGTGGTAGTAGTCGCTGAAGCAGCAGAAGCAGCAGTATTACTGGTGATGGTGGTGGTGGTGGTAGTAGTAGTAGTAGTTGAGGGAATCACTATGGTGTACCGGATAGAAGCTCGAATGCAGATCGGAAGGTCGTGGTTTCATATCTGAACGGAGCTGGACTTTTGAAAAGTCCCTCCGGTGGATAGTCTTATAGAGCTACCTTTATCGGCACTCAGTGGGTGATGTGATCAACAAAAAGCAGCCGCCTTTACTTCCTAGGACTTTACCTGGGTAAAGGCTGGGTCGACCTGTGAGCCAAGGTCATTTTTGAAGAAAAAACAAAACAAGGTCTGTTTGGATTCGAATCCACGACTTTCGAAACCGGAGGCTAGCGTCTGACCGCTACATTACGGTCGCTCCCTTTTGGAACAATAAAGATGTGGGGGGTTTTTTTTTTTTTTTTTTAATTAAAGCTACATGTCTTAGAACATTTAACATCTGTTTCACAAGAAAACTACGTGTTTTAGAGCAATTTTCAATTTTTTTAAACATGAAAACTACATGTTTTAGAGCAACTAAAATTCCATGTTTTAGAACAATTAAGGTTTTTTTCCTTTCAACAGAAACAAATTGTATTTTAGTGCTATCGATACTATTAGATCCATAAAAACTCCACCGATCCTGGAGATGCAGAAAATAACTGCAATGCAGACATTGTCCTCTAGAAGAGACGCTAAAACTAGGATCCAGATGGAGAAGTTTAATGGTATGCTATCACTCTCAATGACATGGGATTGCAGTTTGGAGCTGCAAGAAATGAACATTTCACTAAGAGGACAAGACGTTTCATTAACCAACACACAACAGGTGTCATTAGTCGTTTTACACTTGTGGAGCTTTTGAGGAGGAGATCGGAGCACCTATGGATCTGACTGGAGTGCCGTGATGATAATCCTTTCTAACCACTAATCAATAATCACTAATCACTCTCAATGAAAGCAAGATTAGATGATCTGACTTTAGGGCGTCTCAAACGTAGAGGTAGTAAAATTCGACTAATTAAGAGTTATTTTATGTTATGTTATGTTATCACAATCGACGTCTTTGCACATTGGGCATCCCCATGCGTGCTCAGTCCTCCGATGCAGCAGCTTCCTTATAGGTCAGGGTGCATCTATTTGAAAGGCGAGTAATCTGTGTGTCGTTCAACCCCAACAGGACTGTACAACGAGCGACCAACACCAGGTGACACAAAGTGCCACCATTCGGATGTGGATCACCGAATCAAAAGTCACAGAAACCCCGTTCACCCGTTATGCTATATTAGGACCCCAGACAAACGCTGGATTTGGGCTTTAAAATGACGAAAAATTGCGTCCCATATTTGGACCGGAAGCATAAAATTGAGAGGCTAGGAACCAACAGTCTGCATACAAATGAGCCAGATCTGCTAAGCCAATGTGCATGCAAAAACCCAAGTTCTGAAACATGACTAAAGTCCACAAGTGGACGAACAGTCAGAACTTTCCCAGTAGTTTACAGCCGGTGAGCGCGAAAAAGTCCTACATTTGAAAAGTTAATGTTGCATCCTTGTTTGTGATGTTTTCTCCGTGCAGCTTCTGAGTCCCAATTTGAACGAACGAACGAACGCACAAACTTTATTTGCAAAGGGTTAAGAATGGGCACTCAGGCCCGTCTAACATTCTGCCCTTCGAGGTCTCCCTCTATTCTTACATCATTTCATTGATGCATCAAGTAATATTAAACATTAGCAATCGCAGCCAACTTGACCATACGAGATCGAGTGAATAATGAAACTATCAGGCAAATTGTAAGAACGACACCTTGTACTAGATTCATCGAGAAACAGCAGATCAAGTGGTTTGGCCATCTCGTTAGAATGCAGCAAGATCAAATACCATCACAAGCACTACATCTCAGAAGATCAACTACAAGAGCAAGAGGATGGCAGTGGAAAAAAATAGATCGACAACATTAAAGACACTCTACCCCTTCACGGCATGGAATTAGCCAGTGGCAGCAAATGTTCACTGGATCGCAAATTATTCCTCCCCACGCCGCTTAACGGCAGAAGTGGTTTATGATGATGATGAGCAATCGCATTAAAATATTCAATACAAGCACTGGAATGTGCACATTTCTAACTACAGTAAACCGTAGTTGTAACAAATCTAGGGAAAATATTGAAGGGGAGAACAGGTCGTCTGTCTCCCTAAAAGTCATGCTACAAACGGAAATTAATTAATCAGGGGTTTGCTAATGTCAGATGACAGAGAAGTACAAACTGTATACACAAGGGAGCTGAATGGTTGTAGACCACGAGGCAGACCTAGAAGACGATGGAGAGATAATGTCCAGACAGACCTGCAAACACTTGGTGTCACCAACTGGAAAGAGAAGGCCAACAAGAGAGATAAATGAATGTGGGTGATATCTGCAGCAATGAACCTCAAGGGCTCGGAATGCTGAAGTAGAAGAAGTATCCTGTCTCCTTTGTTAATGAAAATTACGTGTCTGAGTGCTATTGATAAGTTTTTTTTTTTTTTTTTAATAATAAAAACTGCGTTTCAGACATGCTGAGATGTTTTATTTTATTTTGTTCTTCTTCTTATCGTTGACTGGATGTAAGTTCCGGCGGAGAGTTTGGTTGTTCGTCCACTTCTGGACGGTTATCTTGTTCCAGAACCTGATTGTTGCTTACACATCCGTTTTATCAATCTCACATATTAATATGCAGACTGGTGGGTTTTTTTCCGCTTAGACAGATACACTCCGACTTCAAAGGAAGCCAACGGTTAGTCGACTCTTAGGACATGCTAGTTGAAGAGGCAGGGGGTCTATTCTTGTCTTCCCCATAGTGGAGCTTTTTTTTTTTTTTTTAATGAGTTACATTATATTTTATAGCAATTTACGAGTATATTGAAAACAAAATAAGAAAAGACAGTTTTTAAAAAACTTAACAAATGTTTTCGAGTAAAAATGACTCAAAACAAGAAAATATAATCATAGGATTAAAAAAAAAAAAAATACAATGAAAACTACATGGATATACAATTTTTTAATAATGAAAACTACGTGTTTTAGACTAAATGCAATATTTAATTATCATTTTTTTTTAAATATTATTATTACTGGGTTTAAAGATGTAAACTATGTTTTAGAATTATTGCGAGTTTTTTTTGTTTTTGTTTTTTAACAAATGTTCTCGAATAACCCAAAAAAAAAAAAAAAATAACTGTTTTCGATTTTCGAATTATTGTGGGTTTATTTATTTATTTATTTTTAACTTATTCAACTTATGTTTTTGAATTTAAAACAAAAGATAACAACTGTTATATTTTATTTATTTTTCAATAATTATTAAAGTATAATTTTCTCTGAATATTAATATTATGGGCTTCCCGTGTGGGTTTCGGGGTCCTGTTATAGGGAAAACAAGAATAGACCCACTACCTACCCAAAAGCATGTCGTAAGAGTCGACTAATTGGAAGCTTCCTTCAAATTTTGAGTGCATCTGCCTGAGAGGAAAGGAACCAACAGTCTGCGTACAAATTAGTCAGATCTGTCAAACGGATGCACACGTGACACTTAAGTTTTGGAACAGGACTGCAGTTCAGTAGTGGAGGAACAACCAGAACTTCCGCTAGAGCTTAAAGCTGGTGAACGCGAAAAAGAATATTATGGGCTTTCGAATTATTTTCCTTTTTAAAATGAAAATAACTTTTTTTGTTTTTTTTACAGTAATAATTAGTTTGTCTTCTAATGAAAACAAGATGCTTTGGTGCTATTTAAGATAGTAAATTCGAGAATTTTAGTTTTATCCGAAATGAATTTTATTTGTTGTGAAAATGTGTTCTCTTTGGTCAAATAGGTTTCTTTTTTTTTTTTTTTTTTTTTGACACATAATCGTCACTATCATTACCATCATCATCATCATTATCATCACAATCATCATTTTTCATAAAATCTCAGATTAAAAGAAGAAAGGACGGAAGGAAAGACGGAAGGAAGAAAAACAACAAGAGCTATCAGCAACAGAGAAAGTAGCAGCAGCAGTAGTAGTAGTAGTAGTAGTAGTAGCAGCAGTAGTAGTAGTAGTAGTAGTAGTAGTAGTAGTAGTAGTAATAGTAGTAGTAGTAGTAGTAGTAGTAGTAGTAGTAGTAGTAGTAGTAGTAGTAGTAGTAGTAGTAGTAGTAGTAGTAGTAGTAGTAGTAGTAGTAGTAGTAGTAGTAGTAGCATTATTATTATTATTATTACCATTATTATTATTACCTATCACCACCTAGAAAACATTGAAACGTGTGCCTCAGACCCGACCCCCCCCCCCCTCACCTACCACACACGCACACAAACACACACAACGATTTCCCTGGGTAGGAAAAGGGCGTGGAGGGATGGGGAGGCTGTTTAATTGTGCATAATAATAATAAACATTTCATCATTATTATTGTTATTATTGTTAATGTTATTTTTATTATTATTATTACGTGTCACCACCTAAAAAAAACATTGAAGAGTGTGCCTCAACCCCCCCCCCCCCCACACACACATAAACACACACATCAATTTCCCTGGGTCGGAAAAGGTGATGGGGAGGCTATTCAAGTGTGCGTAGTAATAATAAACATGTTATCATTATTATTGTTATTATTATTATTTTGATTATTTGTAAATGCTGAATGTCAAATAATATGAAATGTTTAAACAAATGCTGCAAAAGAGACCAGTCTACACAAAGATGGAGACCGGCCTGGTCTATATCTGGTGGGAAGGGGGGGCGAGTACCAGCAGTATATAAAAAATAGTATTTGGTTTAGCAGTTGTAGCAGCAGCGGTAACTACTGCAGTAGCCGTAGCAGCAGCAGCAGCAACTGTAGTAGTAGTGGTAGCATCAGCAGCAGCAACAGCAGTAGAAGTAT